CCCTGTAAGCCAATCCGGTCTCCTACCATGTTTGCCTTTCTTGATACGCGTTGGGATGGTTTCTTTCTGTGCCTTCAATAAGGCTTCTTTAAAATACTGCCAGCTGTCCTGGACTCCTTTCCCCTTCACGTTAGCATCCCAGGGGATTCTGCCCATCAGATCTCGGAGGGAGTCAAAATCTGCTTTTTCGAAGTCCAAGGTGTGTATTTTACTACTCTCTTTCCTTCCTTTGGTCAGGATCCTGAAATCTACCATCTCATGATCACTGCTTCCCAGGTTGTCACCCACCTCCACTTCCCCTATTAGTTCCTCTCTGTTTGTGAGCAGAAGGTCAAGCTGTGCACGACCCCTGGTCGGATCCTTCAGCACTTGTGTCAAGAAGTTATCCCCAACGTTCTCCAAAAACTTCCTGGATTGCCTGTGTATTGCCGTATTGGTTTCCCAGCAGATGTCAGGGTGATTAAAGTCCCCTACGAGAATCAGGGCCTGTGATCTGGAAGCTTCGCTCAGTTGTCCGAAGAAAGCCTCACCTACCTCATCCACCTGATTCGGTGGCCTGTAGCAGACATCAACCACAATATCACTGCTGTTGTTTGCACCTTTAAACTTAACCCATAGACTCTCAACAGGTTTTTCTCCCTCTTTATACTGGCGTTCAGAGCAATCATAGTGCTCTCTTACATATAGTGCCACTCCTCCTCCTTTTCTCCCCTGCCTGTTGTTCCTGAACAGTCTGTACCCTTCCATGACAGCACTCCAGTCATGCGAGTCATCCCACCAAGTCTCTGTTATCCCAATTCAATCATATTTCTTGGTCTAGGCCAGGGCCTCCAGTTCTTCCTGCTTGTTGCCCAGGCTTCTCGCATTAGTGTACAAACACTCCACAGGCTAGAGCAAGTCGACAACTGTGTTTGTCACCCCTGGCTGAAGGGCCTGGGACTACTTGTCACCTACAAAGACTCTGAGCTGGCCACAAGGGATGAGGGGCCATAAACTAAACTCTGCGCTTAGCCCATTAACACTACGCCTAACGCTAATTCTCCTTACGCTAGACAGTGGCCCGATGACATCATGAGGGGTGTGGCCTCTCTCCAACCCAGATGGTAGGGACAACTACACCACCACAACACCCTCTTCCTCATCTCTGCTCTACATTGCTCCTCGCATAGAAGCTGATCCATCCCCTCACCACTAAGACTAAGATTTTATCACTGTTACTCGTCATTCAAATCCTCGACAGGTCCATGGGCAATACACATAAATTCAGGGAATCCATGATCTCTCTGTGAGTGCTGCTGCTCCGGCTCCATTGTTTGCCCTCTCATCCTTGGCTAGGAGCTCCAGGATGCCCCCACCACAGCGAGCCCTGCTTGCCAGCCGCGCTGTCCAGCGATCTGCGTATGCACAGATCGCCCGAACCCAGCTCTTCCGGGTTGCAATCTACTCGCCACAGGCAAGCAGATTGCATTATTTGTCGAGCCCGCTGATAAGGCCTCCCTGCAACAGCTGCTGCTGGAACCCTGCAGGGGGACCCTGAGAAGGCTGTCGCCTGTCGCTGGAACCTTGCAAGGGGACCCTGAGGAGGCTGTCGCCTGTCACTAGAACCCTGCAGGGGGACCCTGAGGAGGCGGTCGCCTGTCACTAGAACCCTGCAGGGGGACCCTGAGGAGGCGGTCGCCTGTCACTAGAACCCTGCAGGGGGACCCTGAGGAGGCGGTCGCCTGTCACTAGAACCCTGCAGGGGGACCCTGAGGAGGCGGTCGCCTGTCACTAGAACCCTGCAGGGGGACCCTGAGGAGGCGGTCGCCTGTCACTAGAACCCTGCAGGGGGACCCTGAGGAGGCGGTCGCCTGTCACTAGAACCCTGCAGGGGGACCCTGAGGAGGCGGTCGCCTGTCACTAGAACCCTGCAGGGGGACCCTGAGGAGGCGGTCGCCTGTCACTAGAACCCTGCAGGGGGACCCTGAGGAGGCGGTCGCCTGTCACTAGAACCCTGCAGGGGGACCCTGAGGAGGCGGTCGCCTGTCACTAGAACCCTGCAGGGGGACCCTGAGGAGGCGGTCGCCTGTCACTAGAACCCTGCAGGGGGACCCTGAGGAGGCGGTCGCCTGTCACTAGAACCCTGCAGGGGGACCCTGAGGAGGCGGTCGCCTGTCACTAGAACCCTGCAGGGGGACCCTGAGGAGGCGGTCGCCTGTCACTAGAACCCTGCAGGGGGACCCTGAGGAGGCGGTCGCCTGTCACTAGAACCCTGCAGGGGGACCCTGAGGAGGCGGTCGCCTGTCACTAGAACCCTGCAGGGGGACCCTGAGGAGGCGGTCGCCTGTCACTAGAACCCTGCAGGGGGACCCTGAGGAGGCGGTCGCCTGTCACTAGAACCCTGCAGGGGGACCCTGAGGAGGCGGTCGCCTGTCACTAGAACCCTGCAGGGGGACCCTGAGGAGGCGGTCGCCTGTCACTAGAACCCTGCAGGGGGACCCTGAGGAGGCGGTCGCCTGTCACTAGAACCCTGCAGGGGGACCCTGAGGAGGCGGTCGCCTGTCACTAGAACCCTGCAGGGGGACCCTGAGGAGGCGGTCGCCTGTCACTAGAACCCTGCAGGGGGACCCTGAGGAGGCGGTCGCCTGTCACTAGAACCCTGCAGGGGGACCCTGAGGAGGCGGTCGCCTGTCACTAGAACCCTGCAGGGGGACCCTGAGGAGGCGGTCGCCTGTCACTAGAACCCTGCAGGGGGACCCTGAGGAGGCGGTCGCCTGTCACTAGAACCCTGCAGGGGGACCCTGAGGAGGCGGTCGCCTGTCACTAGAACCCTGCAGGGGGACCCTGAGGAGGCGGTCGCCTGTCACTAGAACCCTGCAGGGGGACCCTGAGGAGGCGGTCGCCTGTCACTAGAACCCTGCAGGGGGACCCTGAGGAGGCGGTCGCCTGTCACTAGAACCCTGCAGGGGGACCCTGAGGAGGCGGTCGCCTGTCACTAGAACCCTGCAGGGGGACCCTGAGGAGGCGGTCGCCTGTCACTAGAACCCTGCAGGGGGACCCTGAGGAGGCGGTCGCCTGTCACTAGAACCCTGCAGGGGGACCCTGAGGAGGCGGTCGCCTGTCACTAGAACCCTGCAGGGGGACCCTGAGGAGGCGGTCGCCTGTCACTAGAACCCTGCAGGGGGACCCTGAGGAGGCGGTCGCCTGTCACTAGAACCCTGCAGGGGGACCCTGAGGAGGCGGTCGCCTGTCACTAGAACCCTGCAGGGGGACCCTGAGGAGGCGGTCGCCTGTCACTAGAACCCTGCAGGGGGACCCTGAGGAGGCGGTCGCCTGTCACTAGAACCCTGCAGGGGGACCCTGAGGAGGCGGTCGCCTGTCACTAGAACCCTGCAGGGGGACCCTGAGGAGGCGGTCGCCTGTCACTAGAACCCTGCAGGGGGACCCTGAGGAGGCGGTCGCCTGTCACTAGAACCCTGCAGGGGGACCCTGAGGAGGCGGTCGCCTGTCACTAGAACCCTGCAGGGGGACCCTGAGGAGGCGGTCGCCTGTCACTAGAACCCTGCAGGGGGACCCTGAGGAGGCGGTCGCCTGTCACTAGAACCCTGCAGGGGGACCCTGAGGAGGCGGTCGCCTGTCACTAGAACCCTGCAGGGGGACCCTGAGGAGGCTGTCGCCTGTGGCTGGAACCCTACTGGGTGCCCCAGAGGAGGCTGTCGCCTATCGCTGGAATTATGCCAGGACTTCACTGGCTGCCAGCTCTGGTCCTGAGGCTCCAGTCCTGAGCTGAAGCAGAAAATATCACGGAAGTATCTGGAAGTCACGGATTCCATGACTTCCTGACCTCTGAAAGAGAAATGGAGCCTTACTAACCATTTTTGTTGCCTTTCTCCATACCCTATTCCAATGCCAATGTATCTTTTTTGAAATGGAGTGACCAGAACAGCTTGCAATATCTGAGGTGGTGGTATACCATGGATTAAGACAGTGGCATTTTAGATTTTTTTTATCTTATTATCTATCTCTTTCCTAACTGTTCCTCCCTGCTGCTGCACACTGAGTGGATGTTTTCAGAGATCTATCCGCAATGACCCCAATCTCTCTCTCTGGAGCAGGAATAGCTAATTCGGATCCCATCATTTTCCGATGTATATTTGGGACTATTTTTTCCAGTGTGCATTCTTTTGCACTTAGACAGATAAAGGACTGCTTGGCTTGAGATAATGTATCTTTTACCAGAGCCCGCAGCTGTCTTCTTCAAATATGGGCAGCTCTGAGCTGTGTGTCGGTGTCACCCCTCTGACTTTCCAGCTGTGTGCAGTTAATGGTGCGGTGTGGAGAGAAATGATCAGCTCTCACACAATCCAGAGAACAGAGGCTTCTGCCCTACAAATTGGGGCACAAGTACAGCATGAAGCCATGGTGCACCTGCGGGAACAGTTCCAGTGACGCAAGGGAGAAGAGGAGTGGGAAATGAAAAAGGGGCTGGAGAGGGGGGATGAGGGACAGCAGAGAGGGCCGATACACCAGGAGTGAGGAGAGGACCCAGAGCTCCATGTGGGCAGCAGTGCTGTGCTTAGGGCAGATCTGTGGCATTTCCCTCAGAACTCGCCACCTTGGCCAAGATATCGGCAAAGTCAGGGTGTCAGTGTGAAAATGCTCTCACCACTTTCTCCATTTCTTCTCTCTCCCACTGAGTCGCCTCCCTCACCATCTCCATCTCCTGGGAACAAAGGGGAAGGTCAGAGGGCCCGGTCCTCACACGACTCCTGCCCCAGGGACAATACCATCACCCCAAAAGGGAAGCTTGGAGAGTCACATCCCTGAGCACTCCTAGGGGAAGCATTATCACTCTTCCAACCCTATGACAGCTGCAGGGCACAGGAGCTATGGCGGTGAGTGAAATCTGCTCTCAGGCTCCACAGGCCAAGACAAAACACTGTGGAGACCTTTCAGCCCCACCCTCTCTCCTGAAGTAGTCATAGTGCTCACCTTTTGTAGGATCTCCAGCTCCTCTGGGGTCAGGTCACGGTCAATGGAGGAGATGCTCTCCAGGCTGTTCTTGCGCCCGATGCCAGCTGCAAAGGGATTGGCAATGATTCCTGGGGACATCTGTGAAAAAGAAAGTAGCATCACATGTCAGGAACAGCCAGTGCCTTAGACTATAGCGCCTGCCTGTCCCCCAGGCACTCAGAGCAGAGATGGCCTCATCCCGGAGCACAATCACCTCTTGATACTAGGGCAGTAGGTTCTCAAGCAGGGCTCTAGGACCTTCAAGGAGGACTGCACCAGGGGGAGGGGTGGCTCGAGTGCCTTTTGCAGTCCCTGCTCTTTCAAATGAGGGGCTCCAGGGCTTGCAGAGGGCCATGTGCTTACAGCTCAGGGTCCGAGTGTGGGAGTCCTTAAGCCCATGCTACTCTGTGGCCCAATGGGAGTCCTGACGTGACTGTGGCACTTCCGCAGACAGCCAGGGTGCCTGACACACAGATATGGATGATGCCAGCATGTGCGCCATTGTATCCATGGCATCCAGGGACGCCTGCAGGAACGCCGGGGCCCCTCTCTTGAACTGCTTCTCAGAGAACTCAGGAAGCGAATCCTCAGACTTGTCCATGGCCTGACGCATTCACTTCATAGCGGCGAAGGGGCCTGGTGATCAGCCACTCGCAACTGAAGGCTTGCGGAGGAATGAACCATACGACCGAATACATCCATTCGCCTTCTTCCCCCCGACCGCCCGTGCCTCCCCTGCAGGGGAGCTAGAATAGAGGCATTTCTGCCCCTTCACCGGCAGGAAGCATTTTCTCTCCACCCTATTAGAAGTGGAGGCTAGAGAGGAGGGAATCTTAGTAATTTTCAAGATCCTTTTGTGCATCGGCAGCACAACTTGCCCCAGTGCCGAGATGCTGAGCACCCCAAAAAGGGCATCTGCTGGCTCCTTCAGCGCCTCCGCCTGCAATCCCAGGTTTGAAGCCACGCACTCCTGATCAGGACTCCCTGGGTATGTCTACACTACAAAGTTAATTCGACCTAACAGCCATTAGTTCGAATTAACTTTGATAGGCGCTACACATGCAAACCGCTAGTTCGAACTGAATTCGAACTAGCGGAGCGCTTAATTCGAACTAGGTAAACCTCATTCTACGAGGACTAACGCCTAGTTCGAATTAAGTAGTTCGAATTAAGGGCTGTGTAGTCACTTAATTCGAACTAGTTGGAGGCTAGCCCTTCCCAGGTTGCCCTGGTGGCCACTCTGGGCCAAGCCAGGGAAACTCTTCTGCCCCCCTCCCGGCCCTGGAGCCCTTAAAGGGCCACGGTCTGGCTACAGTGCCTGTACCAGGTGCAAGCCTGCCAGCACCCAGCCAGCAGACCCTGCACCTGGCACAGCATGAGCCAGCCACCCGCTGCCACCCAGCCCTTCGCCTCTTCCCAGGACCAGGCTAACGGCTCCCAGGAGCCTGCCCGGGGCTGCAAGAGGCGGGCGCCCGCCTGGTCTAGTGCGGAGATCATGGACTTCATCCAGGTTTGGGGGGAGGCCTCCAACGTCCACAGTCTCCACACTAGGCACAGGAAAGTGGCCGTCTAGGGCAGAATAGCTGCCAGCCTGGCCACCAAAGGCCACATGCGAACCCAGGAGCAGGTTTGCATGAAAATCAAGTTGGTCCAGTGAGACCCCCGACCCTGAGCTTAGAACATAAGAACATAAGAACGGCCGTACTGGGTCAGACCAAAGGTCCATCCAGCCCAGTAGCCTGTCTGCCGACAGCGGCCAACACCAGCTACCCCGGAGGGGATGGACCGAAGACAATGACCAAACCATTTCTCTCGTGCCATCTATCTCCAGCCTTCCTCAAACAGAGGCTGCACTAAATTGGAGAGAAAGGAGCTTCTCACCCACTGTCAACTACTGGACTGTATAATTATTGTATTTTGTGTAACCTTGTGTTTGTGGGGTACTTTTCCATCTTCTTTCCTTCTTGGGGTTGGGATAAAAAGTGTTTACCTGCCTTTCCTTGTTGTGCTTTTAAAACTTTTACAATATATGGTTTGGCCCTTTTAAAGTGAGCAACGTTTTCATTTACTGCGGCATTCTTGGGTCAGCAAACACCTATGATAGATGAGGTTTGGTGGTATCTGCAACTTCCACTGAGGCTTAATTAATAATAATCAGATGCAAATTTAGGTACAAGCTTCCCTCAGTGCAACAGAATTGGTGACCGCGGCAGGACCCCAATGGTTTGCTTGATCTCAGCTGCTTTTACAGCAAGGAAAGCAGGTTTTGAGAATTGTGAAATAGAGTAAAGGGAGGGCTCTAAATAGACCTCTGTCCTATCTCTCTCTGCTCCCAACCATTTCTGTTCCCTAAAATCCGGCCTACGGTCCAGCCTGGTAGTGGGGGGACGCGCTCACTCAGGGTCTGTAACCCTCCGGTAACTGACAGACACCCCGCTGGTTAGTTGGGCAAGAAGCCCTTCCTAAGCCCAGCCCGCAGGTGCCACCAATTGGAGGCCTTGCTGAGTCGGAGGCCATTGCACGTGGTCACAGTTCGTGAGTGCAAACCCCTTCCCCGCTTTTCTCTGGAATAGCGCGGTTTGGCTGGCGCGTCCTAGTTTCTCTGGTGGACAGTACCGCAAGCTAGTGTGATATTATTCAGCTGGTCTTGAGCGACCCGGTACACCACAGGCTTGTTCCAGGAGGCTTGGTAAGAAGCCATGGCAGCTACTAGAGTCTTCACTGAGGACGGCTGGGAGCTGCTGGATTTGGTTTTAACAAATAGGGAGGAACTAGTTGAGAACTTGAAAGTGGAAGACAGTATAGGGGACAGTGATCACGAAATAATAGAGTTCATGCTCTTAAGGAAAGGTAGAAGGGAGACCAGCACAATTGAGGTAATGGATTTCAGGAAGGCAGATTTTGATAAGCTCAGAGAACTTGTAGGTAAGGTCCCATGGGAAGCAAGACTGAAGGGAAAAACAACTGAGGAGAGTTGGAAGTATTTCAAAGGGACGTTGTTAAGGGCCCAAAAGCAAACAATTCCGCTGTGTAGGAAAGATAGAAAATATGGCAAAAGACCAGCTTGGCTTAACAAGGAGATCTTGCACAATCTCAAAATAAAAAAGGAGTCATATAAAAAATGGAAACTAGGACAAATAACAAAGGATGAATATAGGCAAGCAACACAGGAATGCAGGGGCAAGATTAGAAAGGCAAAGGCACAAAATGAGATCAAACTAGCTACAGGCATAAAGGGAAACAAGAAGACCTTTTATAAATACATTAAAAGCAAGAGGAAGACCAAGGACAGGGTAGGCCCACTGCTTAGCGAGGAGGGAGAAGCAGTAACAGGGAACTTGGAAATGGCGGAGATGCTCAATGACTTCTTTGTTTCGGTCTTCACCGAGAAGTCTGGAGGTGTGCCTAACGTAGTGAATACAAGCAGAGAGAGGGTAAGTTTAGAAGATAGGATACACAAAGAACAAGTTAAAAATCACTTAGGAAAGTTAGATGTCAGCAAGTCACCAGGTCCTGATGAAATGCATCCCAGGATACTCAAGGAGCTGATAGAGGAGGTATCTGAGCCTTTAGCTATGATCTTTGAAAAATCATGGCAGACAGGGGAGATTCCAGAAGACTGGAAAAGGGCAAATATTGTGCCCATCTATAAAAAGGGGAATAAGAACAACCCAGGAAACTACAGACCGGTCAGTTTAACGTCTGTCCCAGGGAAGATAATGGAGCAGGTAATTAAGGAAATCATATGCAAACACTTGGAAGGTAATAAAGTGATAGGGAATAGCCAGCATGGGTTTGTGAAGAACAAGTCATGCCAAACTAATCTGATAGCTTTCTTTGATAAGATAACGAGCCTTGTGGATAAGGGAGAAGCGGTGGATGTCATATACCTAGACTTTAGTAAGGCATTTGATACGGTCTCGCATGATATTCTTATTGATAAACTAGGCAAATATAACTTAGATAGGGCCACGATAAGGTGGGTGCATAATTGGCTGGATAACCGTAGTCAGAGAGTTGTTGTTAACGGTTCTAAATCCTGCTGGAAAGGGATAACAAGTGGAGTTCCTCAAGGGTCTGTTTTGGGACCCATACTGTTCAACATCTTCATCAATGATGTAGATATTGGGATAGAGAGTACGCTTATTAAGTTTGCAGATGATACCAAACTGGGTGGGGTTGCAACTTCTTTGGAGGATAGGGACATAATTCAAAATGACCTTAGCAAGTTAGAGAAATGGTCAGAGGTAAACAGGATGAGGTTTAATAAAGAGAAATGCAAAGTGCTCCACTTAGGAAGGAACAATCAGTTCCATACATACAAGATGGGAAGCGACTGTCTAGGAAGGAGCATGGCAGAAAGGGATCTAGGGGTCATAGTGGACCACAAGTTGAATATGAGTCAACAGTGTGATGCTGTTGCAAAAAAAGCAAATATGATTCTAGGTTGTATCAACAGGTGTGTTGTAAGCAAAACTCGTGAAGTCATTCTGCCGCTCTACTCTGCACTAGTTAGGCCTCAGCTGGAGTACTGTGTCCAGTTCTGGGCGCCACATTTCAAGAAAGATGTGGAGAAATTGGAAAGGGTACAGAGAAGAGCAACAAGAATGATTAAAGGTTTAGAGAACATGACCTATGAAGCCAGGCTTCATGAACTGGGCTTGTTTAGTTTGGAAAAAAGAAGATTAAGGGGGGACATGATAGCGGTTTTCAAATATCTAAAAGGGTGTCACAAGGAGGAAGGAGAAAATTTGTTCCTCTTGGTTTCTGAGGACAGGACAAGGAGTAATGGGCTTAAAGTGCAGCAGGGGAGGTTTAGATTGGACATTAGGAAAAAATTCCTAACTGTCAGGGTGGTCAAATATTGGAATAAATTGCCAAGGGAGGTGGTGGAATCTCCCTCTCTGGAGATATTTAAGAACAGGTTAGATAGACATCTGTCAGGGATGGTGTAGACAGAGCTTGATCCTGCCTTGAGGGCGGGGGGCTGGACTCGATGACCTCTTGAGGTCCCTTCCAGTCCTATTATTCTATGATTCTATGAAAAGCATGAGTGGCGTGGAGAGGGTGCATAAAGAAAAGTTCTTCGTTAGTTCCCA